AAACATGTTCTTCACTTCAGATATCTGAAACTGGAAGCTAGAAAAATGCACATTCCTTTAAAAGAATTGCTAAATACGCCCTGACTTTTTCTCAACTTACTGGTTGTCAATCTAACTACTGTTATGGAAGGATCTTGCACTTGAAAAATTGTGGTGGTGACCACTAGTTTCCAAAACAAGACCAAAGCCTGACCACAGCCCCTCCCCCTGGCAGTCCACACTGCAGCCCCCCTGGAGGTTTTTAGCTTCCATGCCTTTGCTTGAGTTGTTCTGTGCCCCTGGCCTGCACCCCCTGCCCCTGCCTCTGCCAGATGCCGGCTCAGGGAACATACTCTCCAGCAGTCCTGGCATTTCATCTCATGATCCAACAAGAAATATACTCATCCTCCCCTCATTTTGAAGCCCTCAACATCACTTTGCACTTTTCAGCTGTGTGACATTGGACAAGTTACTTACCTTCTCTGAACCTCCATTTTCTCACCTCTGACATGGAGTCAATGATACCTACTTTCTGGGGATAGGTGAAGGTGAAAAGAAAATGTTAACCAAGAGTTTGCGTTGGCTTCTGGTGTGGTTTGTGGCCTCCAAAGACAGGGAGTCTGCTCTTACAGATGGGGAGCCTGGAGCCCAGGCAGAAGCAAAGACTCCTCCAAGTTCATGCATAAGCAAGTCCAGGGCTCAAGGCCAGGTCATTGAGCTCTTGCCGGGCAGGGCCAGGCAGGGAGCAGAGTGTTCCTTACTAGCAAGTTTTCTTTGGGACCAGTCCCTGGCCCCCTGGGCCTTGCTGTGCACACACCTATTTCCTAATGTGGCGAAGGGGACATGGATCTGGGTGCCTGGGGCCCTGGGATATTTGGCAATTGTGTGTTGCTTCATTTCCTGTAATCCTCCCTCTGGCTGGAGGAGGTCCAGCCTGCTAAATCAAGTTTGTAACAGGGGCGAAGCTCTTCAGTTTCAGGGAAGAAAGGAGAACTAAGAGTGACACCCCGCCTCCCGACTGCCCCCTGAGAGAGCTACTTTGCTTTCTGTTTTTCTTCTCTCAGTCTCAGCCCCTCCCAGAAACTGTCCTTTGCACAGAGCCAATATCTTCAAGAGGGTCCCTCCTCTCAGCCCCCCTCCCCCGGGGGAACAAGGTGGGCTGTCAGCAGGACCAGAGCCAAGTCTCACCTCCTCCTCCTGGAAGCTTTGGGGAGTTGCCTGGTGGGACTGAGCTTGTCCTTCTCAGGCCCCAAACACCTTCTGGAATCATCACCATCACCACTACCATCATCATCATCATCAGCAGCAGCAGCTCATGGAAAAGACCTGCTCCCACCTCCAGGACCACAGTGCCCAAAGGGGCACTTTTATGAAATCTGATGCTGAGGAGGACACAAACAATTTGGAGAGACACTCTCATGAAAAGAAAGGTCATCTCCAAGGAGCAAATTATCTGTTTGCCTCTTAGACATTACACCTTGAGACCAGATCTCCATGGGGCTTATTCCTCCACACCCTTTACCCCCAAGACCCACCATGGAGCCCCTTCTATCCTTGGGTCCCCAATCCAGGGCCAGGAAATGATAGACAACATATACCCAAGTAGATTCACAGAGGAAACAGGATCAGGGTGGGGAGGAAGGAGAAAAGAGCAGAGAATCCAGGGGGAGGGGAGACGCTTGTGGGTCCTCAACTGGCCACAGGGTAGCCTTTGGTAAAACCTGAGAGGCTAGACCTGACCAAGGACCCCTGCCTGAAGATGGAGAGGGCCAACTGAGGAAACAGAGGTCAGCAAAGCTGAGCTGTAATTGGCAGGTGTGGTGGGATCCAGGCATCCTGTCCACTACCCAGCTGGGCGGGACAGGCAGGCTCAGGGAAGGTCTGAGCCAGATTCCTCTCTCTGCCCAAACCCAGACACTGAGGGCCGGGAGCAGTGTTTTGGTACCTCCTCCCCCAACTTCCTCCAACCTCATGTGTTTTCCTGGGGGACTCTCCAGTTAGCTGGAGATAAAGGATGATTCATGACTTTTTACAGAGCAGAGACTTTCTCCCTGCAAATGGATTCTCATTCATTATCTCATCTAATCTGCACAACAGCCCTTTTGACAAGCATTGTTTCCCCATCCTGGAATAAGGAGCCCAATTTTTAAAAGGGTCAAAGAGCTTAAACTGAATCACGAAGAGAATAGGTAGCCTGGTTGGGACTCAGGTGAGCCGGCTCCACATCCAGTGTGCCTTCCCCTGGAAAATACCAACATCTGAAAGCTGGTTCAGCACACTTAACAAACTCTTCTTTTTTTTCATTTCCATTTTCACTTGTAAGTGACCCACTGGACCAGCTCTTGAACAACTGAATTCCTGCCGACACAGAAATGTTTCTGGTTATTTGAGCCTGGTTTAGTGGGTATTAGAACTTAAAGAGATGATGAAACTCTTCTCGATCTTGAATGTGGTTCTGCCACGTTGAGACATGTATTAAAAGTCTTAGAACAAAAAGAAACTATATGAAGTAAGTTAGATGTAATGTTAAGTTTATAGACCAGAGTTGTCTAGTCGTATCTATATGTTTGAAATATTTCATTATAAGACTATGTAGGGTAAAGAAGAAAATTCCTCTACTCCTCTGGGTTCTTCTCAGACTGGTCAAACAACCAAATCAACATCAGAGATATCAGTAGGAGAAAAAAACAGAGTTAATTGCTTATCTTTGAAGAATCCAATGGACATGGATTCCAAAGCCATTGGGGCGAAATAAGGATATCTGTATCTTGAACTAAGGAAGAGGGTAGGGGTTTGAGGCTTCAAGGAGAGAAGAGGAGAACTCACCAGAATAGGAGCAGGTAACTCATATGCAAAAGTCCAGATATTTGCCCTGCCACACTTGTCCACCTTAATGGTGGATTAGGGTTCTTGTACCTTGGAGAAAACTTCATATGAGAATGTCTCAACAAAGTGTTGATCTCTTTTTTAAAGATAATTTTCATTCTTCTCAATAGCTAAGGGGGTGCTAAAAGTTTCTTTTGAGCTTTCAGGGCTGCAACTGGAAAATATCCACATGTCAAAGTGAATGTCTCAGGAAGGCCCATTCTGAACACACTGGGGAGGCCTGCCCCTCAACTGGAAATGAGGGGGGCAGGGGAAGAAACCTAGGAGGCAGGACCCAATGACCCAATTATATGTGAAGGCAGGAGCTGCTGCAGCCAGTTTGCAACCATGAGAGAAGTCAGTGTAAAGGTAAATCTAAGACACTAAGAAGGCAGAGCAGAAAGTTAGGCAGTTGGCAAATATTTGTCTGTTGTGAATCAACCAAAACCTCAAACCCATCCTCTCTCTGGACTTCTTTTTCTGAAATAATAAATGTGCTTACTGCTGAAGCCAATGTGAGCTGGGCATTTCTATTATTTGGATCTAAGACATTATAGCCAAAACAAAGTAGAGAGTCAGATCTGATACAGTGGGAACCTCTATGGCCATCAGCATTTGGCTGGGCCTAAACCATCAGGGAGAAAGAAGCCTGTGAGGAGCGCTTACTCAGACTCTTGTCGGTGGTTTTAAGATTTTTTATTGGTGGCAATGTAAGTCAAGTTTCATCTTAATGCTCTTTTCCTGTCTGACACCCTCACAGATGCAACATCTGTCTGGTCCCTGTGAATTCAGGAATTTTTGGCTACTGTGTATTTTCAAATGTTTAATTTTAGGACAAGACATCAATCTATGTGTTTTGGCTATTTTTTAAAGCTACCTTCCTTGTGCATCTGACTCTGGGGGCCCAGGTAGGTCAAGCTGGGTTAAGCAGGGTGATCCAGGCAACAGCCCAGGTAGAAGAAAGGAGGGTTCCCTCCAGAAAGGTGATGTGACATTGACAGGAACGTGATAGTTCTGAATCAAGCCAACAAACCAATTCCTCCCTCATGGGTTGTTTTTAGCCCTGGAGGTAAGATATGAAAAGCCCCTAGTCCACAGTAGATCTCTGGACACCTCCAGTATTTTCCTTCTCAAGCCAGCCAGGATTCTTGGTGTGGATGGGGGCAGGAAGGGAGAACCTTTTGGAACGAGGCAAAGAAAAGAGGCAAAAAAAAAAAAAAAAAGACCCAGGAGGTCTCACGTCCTCTGGTCTCAGCAGGCTTCATTAGACTTTTATAAAATCAGAGTGGGGAGACGGGGCGCCAGGGGGCTGATGGAGACCCAGCGGGAGAGAAGGCAGCTGCCCCTCCGCGGCCCCGCCCCTCCTCCCGTCACCATGGAGACGGAACGGTTGGCCCTGCGGGGTTCCTGCCCACCCCGGGCTGAGACTGCAGCAAAAGAGGCAGCGGAAGCCCGGAGGACTGGACCGGACTGGAGAGCTGGGATGGGCGGGGAGGAGCTCAGTGCCCCCCCCACACACCACCCTCCGAGGCGCTGAGGGAATCGGAACCGTGTGGGGACTGCCTGGCCGCTGCTCGCCGCTGTGCCCTGGCTGTGTGGCCGTGGGGAGAACACTTCCCCTCCGAAAACCTTAAGTTCCACATCTGTCAAAGGAAAGGGTGGAAAAGAAGGAAACAAAATCGTGGTGAAGAAAAGTGTGGGATGAGGAAGCAATGAAATATGTAATGCTGGGAGAGAATGTGACTGAAAAAGGGAACCACAAACGAACCGATGTGATCTGCTTTCTTTGTTCAAACAAACACACACACACACACACACACACACACGCTCCACCTATGCTTACCAAAAATAAGGGGCTTAGGGGTGGGCAAAATACTCTAAATACTTCTGCTTCTCTGTAGACTCCGGGATCGCAGGTAATTTGACTCTGGTTCTTAAATGTTGAACACCCAACACTTTTAAAGTCGGGGCATTAATAGATACCATTTGTGTTGCTTATTAGGCAGCAGCATTTTACTAAATTCTTATGTGGTTGAAAGCCCTTTCTTTGTTCGCAATAATCTCTGGGGTGGGGGTACTGATTATCCACCCCACCCCCTTGACAGAAGAAGAAATCGGTCTAACTAGCAGAGTGGCAGAGCTAAGAAATCAGACTACGAAATTGCATGTTATCACTACCGTGGCTCAAGACAGGTAAATTATCAAAAGTTCTCTTTTCTTGTATGTTTTACTAAGGGAAATATCAAGGGACTAGAAACTAGAAAGAGCAATAACACTTTCAGATGTAAAATGAGTAAGCTCAGTGGACCTGCTGTACAATATGGTGAATACAGTTAATAGAACTAGACGGAAACTGGGAATTTGCACCAGAGAAATCTCAAGCATTCTCACCACACGAAAAATGGTCACGGTGTGTGAGGGGTGGAAGTGTTTAACTTGGTTGTGGAGCACTTCACAATGCAGACATACAGTAAACCACATTGTATGAGGTACAAATATCTCCTACATCCTAAGTATATACAGCTTCGTAGTTACTCCTCCATAGAACGGAACACTTGAGTGAAACCTGTTATCAGGGAGCTTCAAGGAAATCCTTAGACGGAGGGAATGAAGGTGGAGAAAGGAAGGAATGGGGTGCTTCCGCAGGGTGCTTAGGTTCTGCCCAGAACCAGAAATCTCAATTTACAGCACACGCCCCCAACCTTGGTGGGGGGGGGAACTGAAGGCCAACATCCTCCTTTACTCCCGCCCCCCCCACCCCCCAGGATCCTTCCTCCTTTTTAAGTTCAACTGACTTGCATTTCCCCAGGCAGCCCCTTTATAGGTCCCTGGATGTTCTCCAAGGCCCAGAGGTTTTGGCAGCTTTAAGAAAGAAGACATGGCCCGGGGCCCAGACAACAACCTGCAGAGGTGGGCAGGCCTGATGGTGCTGGCTGCCCTGGGCACAGCTGTGACAGCGACCACCAACCCTGGCATCGTGGCCAGGATCACCCAGAAGGGCCTGGACTATGGTAATCCTTCTTTCTTTCTGCTCCCACCCCCAAGGGCACTCCTTGCACCCTGCTGTGTGCAGCTCCTGAAGTCCTGAGAATGGCAGGCTCACAGTGCCTCAGTAGGCCAAGCATTGGAGCACTGGCCGGGAGAACTCAAGGAGCCCTGCTTCCCTCCCTTAGATCCTCCCGGTCCCCTCCCTAGCTCCACCCAATGTTTAGTTCAGGCTTCCAAGCTCTCCATTTTCTTCCAAATTGAGATTCCCTGGTGTGGTTTTCAGTGTGGGCAGAGCTCAGGCTTCCTGAGGAGACTGGTAGGAGGAGGGAATGTGGGCAGAGGGTGGGGTAGGGGGATCTTCTTAATGGCCTCCCCGAGGGCAGGGTCTTGGCAGCCAAATTGTGTGCAGCACCCATCTGGGTGACCCAGAGAGGGCCACTCATTCAGGCCCAGACAGAGGAGACAGTGGCATGAATTGCTGACTTGCTCAGGTCAGCACCAGACACTAGCTAGGAGCTTTAACCTCTTTTGAGTTCATTTGTCTGTAGTTCAGCACTGGTAGGACATTCTGTTATGGGCAACATTTACACATGAGCAAGCTGAGACTTGGAGAAGGGACTCCGGAAATGGGTGGCCTAGATTTGATCCCCAGTCTGGCCACACACACACACACACACACACACACACACACACACACACACACACACACA